GAAACAAACTCGGGGAATGCGCCTACCTGATGAGCCCCAGAAAGGGCGTAACCGGTCGTGGGCTGTTCAAGATTTTTCAGCAACTTTGTGAGTAGTTTCCTTTATGAAAATCGTGATTTTCATCAACATTAGGGTGCATAGTAATTGCAGCCGTACGAAAAGAATATCAAAGGGAAGCTTGTGTTCGGTCTTAGAGAATATGGGCTATGGACGATTGGTGTTATAGACCAAAATCTGATGACTCCGAATGCCCAACAACGGCACATCACTTCTGAGACGAGGGAATGAACCATTCCACATGGCTGAAAAGTGAATGGCAGTCAATCCCGGAAGTCACAATTCGCCAGGCGAAAGCGTTCCGCATTTTCCACTGGTTTATTCCTCAAGTGCTTGCCAGACGCAAGTATCGTCCACTTCATCTGACAAACCACCAACGTCCTCCCAAGCGCGAACCGACCAGTGATAGAAACGTTTTACTATGCTTCTGTTACTCGTTCTCAATGGAGACATTATCTGTGTTGGTTTCCAATTACTCAGTAGAAAATTATTTGATGAATTTTCCCTCATGTTAGCTAATTTCTACGTCAGCTGAACATAAAAATGTTGGAAACACGGGGCTTGAAGTTTGTGCAAGCAGGAGAGAGCACTTTCAAAGGCAGCCCGATTTCGGTCGGTAGCAATGATGAACACAGTGAGCACTATACAACGGTAGACATGATCAAATTTCACGCTAGAAGACCTACAGCAGAAGACTCATGCTTGATCCTCAGCACACCTCAATCGAAGTGTATAGGAAGACCATCGTCACAACTCATACGGTACAATTAGGCTCTATTCATAGAAACAGTTTGCCACTTGCCACACACACAGCCAACAAGACCACGTCCTTAGACTTCTCTTGGCAAGATTCGGGTCCATAGTCACAGACAAACGAAACGTCTAACAGTTGGTCTTTGGCACATTTGTTGCACCTGGTTTCACATAAAGAGATGGCTATACTCTCAAAAGAGAACTTCAGAAATTTATTCATCAAGAAAGTCCGACACAGCGCTTTCACATGTACCATTTGAATCCTCGACAGGTAATATTGCGTTCGATTTCATCATAATAATCTTACCGGAATGCATACAAAAAACTCTTCCACAGCCCACTACAGGTTTCATCCTTCATGGGGCATAGAGGTTTCGTCAACCTTATGTTCTAATTAAACACTAAATTGTACACTGAATGTGCTGCACACAGGCTGCCTCATGATGCAGTTAGTACGATATTCTAGAAGTTGCAGTATATTTTCATAAAGGAAACTACTCACAAGGTTGCTGAAAACTCTTCGACAGCCCACGATCGGTGTCGCCCTTCTTGGGGCTCATCAGGTAGGCGCAGTCCCGAGAGATTCAGCTGAGTCTCTTGTGAAAACCAGATTGATTTGCAAATGAGTGTATTTCTCGAAAACAGTCCAGTTTGTGTTCAAGTAGAACATAAGGTTGACGGAAACTCGGGGACTGCGCCGCGCCTACCTGATGTGCCCCAAGAAGGGCGAAACCGGTAGCGGGCTGTAGAAGAGTTTTCGGCAACCTTGTGAGTGTTTTCCTTTAAGAAATCATAAGTCTTTTCTTCAAAAAGGAAACTACTCACATGTTTACTGGAAACTCCTTTGATATCCACCATTGTGAAATTATACTGCGATACCTCGACTATCATACCAATGAGTCATCAGACGACCCTTGTGTAGCACATTTAGTTGTAGAATATCATAAACCAGAGATTCATTTGAGTCTTCCATGGAAACCTAGCTTACATGCAAATAAAAGTACTTGTCGAGATGAAAGACTTATTCGGGATACAGGAAAAGCGCACTTTCTCGTTCCGCTGAATCAATCGTAGAGGTTATCCGAGACAAACCACTCCTAATTCCCTAAATGATCACCTTTCTTTGAAAGAAACCAAAAACAGTACCATCTTCGAATCGAATGAAAATATGGATAACATGTCGGACTGAAATCCGTGGAAGAGGGCGGCTTCACGATAAAGTCCTTCATGTAATGCGGGTATGCCAAATACCTATAAAATTCCAAAATATTTCTTCCATTCATAAGGAACGAAACCAAGAGAACACGAACGTGATCAGGGAACCANTAGCACCGATGGAATTTTTCCCTACATTCTAATGAACTAACTGAATTCGAACATTTTGAATGAGAACGCCCTATCCGAAACGTATGATTACACGGGTTGACCGATTACCATTGATTTACAATTTCTGCAAGGCAACCTATCTCTTATTTGTGATTTCGATGTGTTTCCTATTCAGCCGCGAGAAGTTTGCTTCCCGGAGTTATTCCAGCCTAGACTATCCGAAGGATCTGCGGAAATGCCTTTCGTATAAATTTGAGCAAGTCAGAAAATTGCCCATTATGTTCAATTTTTGGTATTTTCAATTTTGATATTTTCGAACTATTTAAGCGAACCATGTAGGAATTTGGCAAGCCGCAAGTTAACAATCTAACTTAAAAACTGTCGCATGATGGCTTGTTGTTGATTAATGCAACTGTAACGGTTTTTGAAGAAAAGCTCGCAAGCAGTGCGCATTTGATGACGGAAAACCAATTCAAATGGAACACTGTGGTTTTGCTTTTTCTATCTCTTCGTGTACGATTCCTAAATTAGTAACTCCTGGTTTGGTTTTCCTAACAAGTAGTGGATCAAACGCAACGCAGATCAACCACCTCAGAGCCCGTAATTTTCATGAGTGGTTGCATGTCAGATGTGGCTGTTTCTGTCCAGGCATCCAATCGTAACTGGCTCAACACGTAGAATCGATTCAGATCGTCTGGCATGTTCTCAAAACCCAAAGTTGAATAATTCATAGATGGTAGTTGATCAACAGGTGGGACTGCAAAGTGAAGACGAACGGTGGAGTGGACTTTGTCAGTGGATAAACTTCTGGTAATCGATGTTTTCACACCATGGCTCAGCGACAGAAACAAACCCAGTGAGTTGCTGATTGTTTATTGAGCCTGTAGGGTTAAATTTACTTGGGCTAACTAGGTAATCTGGTGATTCTTTTGTTCGGAGACCTACTAAATTTCTCAGATTGTATTTGCTGAGACCACAAGTTTTCAATCCCAACTTTGTCCCACGTGACCGGTTTTCAAGTCCTGTTGGTCAAACAAGACCGTGAACTTATCACGATTTCAACAAACCTTTTGAGCTTGCGATTTTGGCTGAGCCTTGCTTCACAAAAGACTAATCGGGACTTCACAGTGTTACTTCGGTATATTTTGGTCAATTTAGAAGACTAGACTTTTTGATGTCCAACTCACTTCGTACTATAATGATAGCTTCCAGCAGCCCTATAGATTTCAGGTGAATAAGGCTTGTCATTACAGAGCCTGTGATGCAAGCGTAAAGCTGTTTGTCCAATTGCCATGTGATATAATCATGACACGTATCCTCTAGCAGAATACTTATCCTATGGGATTTGTTCCATTTCATAGCAAGTCTCTTTCTCGAGAAACTGAGGTCAGGGGCTTACACATACTTTTTTTTAAGTGAAGGATGGGGTAGGCACCCAAAGTGTCTAAGAAGTGTTTTAAACTGCGTCCGTTTTGCTGCACGAATATCGAAATGACTTCGTGACTGTTTCAGTCTAATGATATTCAAATGTACGTCGTATGAAATGCAGCCATGTGCGAGAATAATCAGTTCCGGTTCTGCAGAAGAAATCACAAACCAACAAAAGCAAGTCGTGTACCAAAGGAGGACAGATACACTTTGCGCCGCAAGGAAGAAACGGCATGAGCTACGTCGTTTTTTGACCGACATCTTATGGAAGATCAAATCACGTAAGAGCTGAAAAAGCTTTGATTACCTGTGCCGACCCTCAGACAACTTGGTTGAGTTGATTCCTTGTTAAGGATTATGTGAACTGTTCAGAATACGTTTGAGTATAATCGACAAATCTTTGTTCACCGGGCTGAACGGCCGTGATTCGTTCAGCTTACCAGGGGCGGGGTAGTCTTGATTTGCAACTCATAGATTGGATGGATTTACTACAAGCTAAGATAGTTAAGAGGTTCTTGTGACGCTAAAGCCTTTGAACCTGATGTTTGATGTCCTACAGCGTTGTTGATTTGGTAGACAATTGGAGCACGAAATTCGACGTATGTAACTGCTTCGGTATCCCTGAGATATAGAGCTCGCGTCTGTAGGTGGATGTCTCACAAATCTAATCGTGAACGATACCAACATTGTAAACTTCAGTTACACGGGGAAGATTGACTAGACGAAAGGTGTAGGAAAGGTCTAGGTGTTGAAAGTGGTCGGTACTGGGATA